AAGAAGAAGAGGGAAGAAGAAGGAGAAATAAGGCAGGAGAGGTATGGTAGAAGTCGTGAAGGAAAGATGTTGAATAAGGAAGGCGATAGAGAAGTGGGAGAAGAGCCATGGGCGTATTGGGGAAACAAGAAGGCAATAGAGAATAAGGGAGGGGGGCGAGGGGAAGACTAAGCAGAGTGAAGAGAGAAGGGCAGTGGAAGGGATAAGGATCATACGTGAGGAGAGTGATTAAGGAGGCGAGGAGGGACGAGAGGGTTGGAGTGAAAAAAGTAGGAGAGAAGGATATTGAGAAGAAAGAAGAAGAGATGAAGAAGATAATAGATGAAGGGAGAAGAAGAGGGGAGAATGGCTATGGAAAGGGAAGGACAAGGGAGAGGATGGAGGCACCGAGATGGAAGAGAGAGAGCGGAGAAAAGAAGAAGGAAGGCAAAAGAAAGAAAACAACAGAGAACAAAAAGCGAGAGGAAACGAAAAAGAAGGCACGATTGGAACGCGCATAGTATAGAGACCTAGAACCCCCCGTACACCTCAGTAAGAAACGTCACCCGGCACCCCCCTCCGATACCCGACAATCAGCGCACACCGTCTCCGAATAAGGGCTCTCACCCATAAAGAGGACAGAACGAAGCGCCCTTGTGTTGAACATAGGCTGATTTGGCGGACGCGGCATGAGTTCCAACATTCCGTCATTCATGACACGCTTACTCAATTCCTTCGGATAGGAATAGGCACAAGCGAAGACGATTATATGAAAGGCAATGGTTTAAGAAATGTGGCAAAAAAGAGAGAGAAGGAGAAAAGAGAGAAGAGCGAGTGACGAAAGGAGATAATTGGTCTTTATAGAAATAGAAAACCTGACGAAAGAGAATCAAAGATTGGGGTAGAAGAAGAGGGGGAAGGAAGGAAGACGAAAGGGAGGAAGAGGAGAAGGGAAGAGAACGGAGATATACAGAGCAAAAGGAGAGGAAAAGAAGGAAGAAAAAAGAAAAAAGGGAAACGGATAACAAACAAACAAAAAGAGAGGACTAAAAAAGGGAAGAAACCTAAAGAGGACATGAAAAAGAATTCAACAGGCAAAGAGCTATTGAGGTTAAGCCGAAAGACCAGAGAGAGAGAGAGAGAGAAGAGAGACGATTCGAGCTGCCATAGATGGAGACGGCTTTTACGAAGGGGGGAAGAACATACAAGAAAAAACAATTTAACAAGCTTTTTAACGATAGAGGGTGGGCAAGGAAATGGACCAAGGAATGCGACCGTGGAATTAAGCAAACGGATTTGTTACGCCAATGCGGAGTCCGAGGATGTCACAATTGTACCAGAGGGAGACCTCGAGAATCGAAAGCGCGTGACGGGTATTGAGGCGGTAAATCTAGAGGGGAGATTGATGGAAAGAGAAGGGAGAGGAGAGAGGCGAGGAAGAGAGGGGGAAGGGGGAAGAGGGAAGAGATGATGGGACGAGTAGGAGGACAGGAAGGAGAGGAGGAGCAAGAGGATCTGAGGAAGAGAGGGTGAGGAACAGGAGATGGAGATTGGAGAAGGAGGAGAGAGAAAGAGAGAGCAAGTAGAAGAGGAGGAGGAGAGAGGGAAGAAGAGATGGGGGAGAGGAGAGGTATAGAGGGGGAAGGAGGGAAGGAAAAGGGAAGAGAGAGAAAGCGTAAGGGAAAGAGCAAAAAACAAAAAAAAAAATAGATGAAGGAAGAAGAGAGGAAAGACAAAGAAAAAGAATAGAAAAGGAAGACTAAGAGGAAGAAGTGAGGAAAGAGGGGGGAAGAGAGGATGGTTGCGGACATGCGTTGCTTAAATATGAGGTCAGGAGGAATCAGCAAGTTAGACATCTGCGGGGATCCCAAGTGGCTAAGCAATAAGCAGATAGGAGGTGATCCGAGCCGGAGGAGAGTAGGGAGTACTTTCTGGTGGAGGTTGAGATGGAATAAGGATGGAGAGAGAAGGAGAAGGAGGAGAGAGAGAGGAAGAGAGCGGAGGAAGAGAGGGGAGATAGGGGTGAGATGCCGGAGAGAGGGAGCAGAGTCCAGGAACGTGGATGGTGTGATATATGTGAGGTAATAGAGAAGATGGTAAAAAGTCAGCGGGTGATACGAGAGAGGTCGTAGAGGGAGAGTAGTAGTGTATGTTGCGACTATATGAGAAGGTAGATATAGAGATGGGACGAGAGTGACGCAGATGATAGGGAGTAAGTGAATAGGATAGATGAGATATATAGATGTAGAGATGTAGAGCAGATAGTGAATTATACTAGAGTAATATATGAGAGAGAGAGTAAGAAGTAGCTACATTAAGGAATATATAAGAAATGTAGGGATGACGAGAGTGAAGATATAAACACAAAAGATATGTGTATAGTAGATGGATGGCATTTGATGTGAGTGTAGTAACATAAAAGCGATATATAATATGAAGAAAGAAAGAGCGTAGAAAAGATATATATGATGTAGATAAATAGGTTAGTAAATAATTATAAACAACTAGAACTAAAAATCAG